GCTCGAGTCGCCGAACTTGGGCTCCCCGTGGTGGAGGTGTAGAGAGGTCAGGATCACCTGCTTCCCATCAGTCCAGGCAATCCCATGCACCGGGTGAATGGCTTGGTGCAACGCGTTGAGGCCAGTTCTCAGAAGCTTCGCCTTCCCCAGCTCCATGGCTGTTAATGTGACACACCTAAGTCAACGAGAACAAAGAGAAGAAAGTTATTGCAGAGCACGAGAGAACAAGACCTGTACAAGTCACTTGGCTTATGACCTTGCCAATGCTGGCCTCTTCCTTCCAGTAAATATACACGTCATGTTCCTCTAGGCTTGATCCCCAGCCCCAGACTTCTTATGGTTTATGATGTCTCCACAGCAAAATGCAATTCTAGGAGTAAGAAACTTTGCTATTTACAAAGGCTTCATCTGCTGCATTTTCATCACAAGACCAGTCCTCTCAATCTAACAGACAGGTTGCTGCTTCTCAGAATACTTTCAAATGGCTTCAGCACTTGACATTTTCAGCACCTAGCTCTCTCCCTCAGCTCTGCAGACCATTAGTGATCAGATAAAGCCATCCCTTACAAGTATAACCAGGCATTAAAGTATTATCTGTAAATCTGATCCTGTATTAAGTGGGTGAGAACAAGCCATTTGCATGGTTATTCCAGACAGCTCTCTAAAAAAACTAATGCAAGTTGAAAGAAAGGTGGGGCCAAAGCATTTTTTTCCTGAGGCAATGAATGAGAAAATAATTTAAAAGGACTTAGAGGGGGGACAGACCCACCCACCTCAGGCACAAGCCATGCTATGCTAACATATGAATGACTCTCTACCTCCAACATCCTTTAATGCAGTAATTATTATTTTTTTTCCTTTTCCTCAGTGATTTACCACCTTTTAGTCAAAGCTCACAGACCACTCTGTAGCTTACTGCTGTTTGCTGGGTAGAAGGGATGGATGAAAGCATTAGGCAGCTGACTATGCCTGCAGAGCAGTTATTTCACATACCTGAATACCTGCACAACAATAGATCTAATTTTTAATTTATTTATATATATATATCTGCAGTAACCTTGGGGACATTTTTATCATTTGGATGTTGCTTTGGGAGTACTTCTTTTCACAGTATCCTGCAAAGTAGAAATCACTGTCTTATAGGTGGGAAATAAAACCACAGAAAACCTTCATTCCACTATTTCTGAAAAAAAAAAACTGGCTACAGGTTTTACCCAATGTCTCAAAAGAAGCCTTTTCAGTTCCTTCTACACAGCATAACAGTTTCAGGAAGGAGAATGGGAAGCTGACATCACTCTCCATAATCTGTAACCAGGTGTTTGGGACACCCAAAAGCCATGTAGAAGGTACTAACACTTGGGAATGGTTCAGAATTTCAGATACATTTCTACTCTCTGAGCTGTAAGCAAACCCTTCTCTGTGCACAGTTCAAAGGAACGGATGGTTTCCCAGTTTAAGAATCCTGTTCCACAGGATTTGGCTCAGCTGCAAAGCCATAGCACAGAATGTGTTGGAGCTCTAGTAGGAAACATGGGAAAGAAGAAGAAAGTGTTTAAGAAAGTCAAACTATCCAACTGGAAAGGCCTGGCACTACTTGGCATTTTAATTAATTATTTGTGGATGATCCCAAACTTGGAGAAATGGGACTGGAAATGCAGATTTCAGAGGTATGCCATGGTGATCAGGATAACTTCTCCAATTAACAAGTGCAAAACAAGATTCTTAGTAAAGCAAAAAAACCCACCAAACCATGGATACCTCTTCAGGAATAATTCCCTGGGTAGCAGTATAGCAAAAAAGGATCTGGCTTACAGGGGATCACAAACTCAGTATTAATCAATGTGAGAATTTTGCCAAATAAGACAGTATCATTCTGGAATGTGTTTTAAGAAGAATGTGCTACACAATGGAGACAATTACCCCACTTGCTTGGAGCTCACAGGAGTCCTGTGCTTAGTTCAGAGTCTAACAGTCCAAGGATGATGCTTAACAGTTCTCAGGGGCCAGAGAAACATGCAAAATGGGTTCCCTCAGTTTGCAGAAGATGATGAGTGGGAACTTGCAAACACCCACCATCCTGCTGACAGAAGAACACTGATCCATTGTTCTTCAGGTGTACTCTGGAGAGTGCAAGGTAATAACCAGCTTAGCTTCAACAAAGGAGATTTAGGTCAGCTTTAAGGAAAAATTCTACCTATAAATGATAGCTAAGCACTGAAGGAGTTTACCTTGAAGAGGGGGAAAAGGCACTCCATCAATTTCATAGTCATCAACTTCAATTCTGCCAATTAAGCTGTAGCAGATTGGATCCTGCCTCATGCTATGAGAGCACTTGAGAGACTTCCCAACCAGCTTCTCCACATCTACCTGCCCCTCAGCTCCAGCACAACCCACCCCTGCACCTCCCCAGGCCACGGGCACTGGCAGGAGAAGAGAAGGTTCACCGGCACCCCCAGCCCCGCCCC